GACAGGGTAGAACCGTTGGTTTTTCCAGAAGCAGACTTCCATATCTTCTTCTTGGAGAGCCTCAAAGAGCTGAACCTTCAAGCTGCTTAAGCCACTGTGCCACCTGGACTCCTGTCAAATTCCATCTTCTTACTGGGCACCATCAAGACGGAACAGACCCACAGCGGACCCTCCAGTGTGCTTTCAGTGGCAGTAAATTACAAGGGGGGAAACTACCCATCTTTCTCCCATGGAGCAGCTGGTGGATTCAAACCATGTACCTTCTGCATTGGCAGCAGAATCCCTCATTGCTAAGCCACCAGAGCTCCTTGTCAAATTCCTTAGTAGAAGCAACAATCCCCTTCATATATGTCCCTCTCCACACTCCTCTAGCCCTGTATCTCATGCCCCAGCATATCCATGTCACCATACATGTTCTTCTAATGCTTCTTCCCTTTTGTTCATCCTTATGGTGCCACCTCTTCTCCGCCCCTGGTCCCCATCCCTTGATGAGGCCAAAGGTCCTGGTTATTCACCTGTCCCACCTCCCCCCTCCATCCACAGAGAGCTCCTGAGAGCTGGGATGTTTCTGCTTCAGTCTCTGTGGCCTTCCTGAACCTAGCATGGTGCCAGACACAACAGTGATCATAGACCCATTGCAATCGAGTCTTGACACAGGGCAGACCTGCTCCAAAGGGTTTCAAGGCTGTGGTTTTTCAGATGCAGACTGTTAGGCCTGTCATCTGAGGTGCCTCTGGGCAGGTGCAAACAGCAAACTTTTCAGCAAGTATTTGAGTGCTTGACCCTTTGCTCTACCCAGGGAGCAAACACTGAGGCAGTGCCATAAAAAGGGACAAATAAATGGCACAGAATGGAATTCCAGGAGTAAATTCACACATTTATGGATTATTTTTATCAAAGACACCAAGGCAAAGGAGAAAGGAAACCCTTCTTAGCAAACGGCACTAGAACACTGGACTTCCACAAACAAGAGAATGATTATGGCTCCAAACCTCATGCACACTATATGCTAAACCTACTGCAAAATGGATCAAGGTCCCAAATGCAAAACTTAAAATGATTAAACTTTTGAAAGAAAATACAGGGGGAAACTTGTGATCTTAGTGAAGGCAAAGATGTCTTAGATAAGGCAGCAAAACCCAAAGTCCAATGCCATAAAAGAATAAATTAGTAACTAGGACTTTCATAAAAAAAGTAGAACTTCTGTTCTTCAAAAGCCACTGCTGAGAGAAAGCAAGTACGAGCCACAGACTGGGAGAAGGTCTGTAACACAGGGCTGCGATGTCCAGAACGTGCGATCAACTCTCTGAACTCACAACCCAGGAAGAAATGGGCAAAACAAAGTCACAAAAGAAGATAACATGGATAGCAAATAGGCACATACAAAGATGTTCAACATATTTCATTAGGGAAAGCAAATCAAAATCACAATGAGATACTATCTTGTAGCAGTCAGAATGACTAAAATGGAAAAACCCCCAAAACATCAACTCAAACAAAAAACCCACCAAAACACACTGACTATACATGTATTAGGATGTGGAGGAAACTGGACTCAGTGCTGAGGGGAACATGAAGTATTATAACCACTATGGCAGTGGAACACACATCTGCCACACAACCCCACCATTTCACTATTATTATTCTGAGAGAAAAGAGAGTATGGGTCCACAACAAGATTGATGGCTTAGTGCTAAAGATTTGCGCTGCCAACCCAAAGGGAAGCAGTTCAAATCCACCAATTGCTCCTTACGAGAAGGAAGGCCAATCTCCTCTTGTATGATTTACCGTCTCTGAAAACCCACTGGAGGCTCAGCGATGAGCTGCCTGACTTCACGGTATATAACCTGTCCAAACGAAGACTTGTATACTGTTGCTCACAGCAGCTTTATTTGTAATAGCTGGAAACCGCAAACAACCCAAAGTGTCATCAACACATGAACAGATAAACCAATGTGGTAGAGCCAGCCATACAATGGAATAACATTAAAAAATGAAAAAGGAATGATTTGTTGTTACATTATAAAATGAATCTTAAAAGAATTATGTGGAGTGAGATACCAAAAAGAAGAAAAAGAATACACATTGTATGACAGCATACAACTCTAGGAAAGGCAAAGGAGGCTACAGTTACAGAGTAGCTCAGGAGTTCATGGAGGTGAGGCTGGGCAGCAGAACCACAAACAGACTTGAGGAAATTTTGGGTTGATGGAGATGTTCACTATCTTGATAGAGTGTGATGAGTTTCGTGTGTTAAAACTTGCTGAATTTTGTACCTGCTGCCCCTAGATTACAAATGAGTTTGTTTGGTTCCTTCCTAAATAAATCCGCCTTGATGTTGAATTTGTATGTTACGTTGGACCAGATTGTCTTAGAGGTGACAATACCTGTCTATGCATCTTAATCACTTAGCACTTCCAGATACATCATAATGCTGGACTGCAAAATAACACCTGTGATCACCAATCACTGTCTGAACTGGAAGCTCGTCCACAATACACTTAGGTTCTGGGGTTTAGCTGCCTCAGTCTGAATACTCCATCACTCAGTGCTATGGGAGCCCCAGCAGGTTACAACTGCTAGATCCCGTGGTCACCTCCTCTGTGAGAGGCGGCTCATGGCAGACCCACTACTTAATAGGGTAATACATGGAAAAACATTACAATCAGTGCCTGGAACGTAGTAATAGTCCATAAATGTTAATCAGCACCACTTCTACTGCAGAGGAGGAACACGAGGTTTGGAATTGGAGGGGACCGGACATAACAGGTAATGGTTATCCTTTTGCTTTGTGTCTCTTTCCTTGGGAAATTGTTCTTCCGTTATTTCCAATGATTCTGGTACTGCTGAAAGTCAGAGTCCCCAGCACCCTCGGAAGTAGCTCAGGCCAGGGCTCTAATCATACTCCATCTCCTCTGAATATGCGATTGGTCTAAAACAGGCAAAGAAGAATTCAAGCTGGCCAATCAGAGGCCTTTACTGGGAATGATCTGGTTTGAATGAATCTATATTTACTACATCAAAGTAGGGAGGGAGACATTCTCTTCCCTTCTGGATTTACCAATCTAGACGATCTAAGCCTAGTGACTCCTCCTCACCAACTCCAATGAACCCCTTTCACAATGGGCTAGAGATTAGCAGTGGAGAAAGGATGAGGCCCAAGACTATCCTATGAGCAGCTGGATCCAATCACAGGTGATGCTAGACCACCCAAGTCCCTGAAGACTCCTGCGCCAATCTCTCTGAGCCTGAAACAAGTTTGTTTCTGTTGTGTGTGACTGAAGGGGTTTTACATGACAGCAGTGAAATTACTTGGCAGTAAAATATACAAACCAGGTCTCACTGCCATCAAAACTCACACTCAACTGCCATTTCCTGTTCGTGGGGTTAAATGGGCAAATGTCTGAACACCCTAAGGAGGAGCTGAGAACCTGGGTCAGGAGAGGGAAAGGCAGTGGCCTGCTGAAAGCCTGACACTAGCACGCGTTTTAGGGATCCCACCCATCTGGGAAGCTTGCTCACCTACACCCCACAAAGCTAACATGAGGTCAAGAGACATAACAGGATGATGACATGTTTATTTACAACCAGACGAAAAAAAGGCATACAGGCATTTTTTAATTAAAAATAATAACGATGACGATTAAAAAAGTCATAGGAATTGACGATGTCTGAGCCTTTATGAGGAGTCCATGTCCCCACTCTCCCACAAAGCAATCTCTTGGGGTGGGGGGGGGATTCCAAGATTTGAATGAACAAAGGACTCTGACATCACTCTCCACTGTCTGGGTTTCCTTTCCTCCGCCCTGGTTCGTAGGGGATGCCACTTGGAACTGCAGAGTCGCCATGAGGCAAGACTGAAAGGTTCACTGGCTTGACTGATGGGGCGCGTGGGGCCACTAGGGGAATGGGAAGGGGAGAGCAGGGTATTCTGAACTTAACCAGCATCCTGAGCTTTGCCCTGTGATGGGAGTCCCAAAGGGGCTGGGCACAAGGGTGAGTGGCTGTTAATTAAACTTTGACCCCAAAGTGGGCTTGGTCTCTAACAACTTAAAAACAAATGATATGACAAGAACAGAGCCAGGCTGGGGGTCAGGAAGGGTTTGCAGAGGATCCGGGGGAGCCGTGTTAGCTCTCTTCTCCTAACACGGAGTAACTGGCTCTTTACCTATTATTCCAAAGAATTGGGGAAGGAATGACAGGACTTACCTTCTATTTCTTTCTCACAAGCAGGTTGCTGGGAGTCCCCAAAAGGAGGGAGCAAAGATATTGAACAGAGGTAGAGGGGATGGGTCTGGCTGAAAGAGCTGGGTGGGCACTGAGCCGTGGGGAGAGAAAGCCTCTGCCCAGCCATGCCAGGAGGGGACCCGAGGTCGCAGGGCCTCCAGGGAGCTGGGTCCGTCCCTGTGGAGAGAGCAGCACCCTCTGCAGAGGGCTGGGGACAAACCTGATGTGGCAAGGACCCTGGTGGCTGTAGCCTCCCCTTTCAGACAGATGTGTGGCCCTGAAAATACTAGGCCCCAAGTCCCGGGTTTCTTGGCACAATGTTGTGGCCAGTTCACTGCAAGTCTGTCCTTTTCCTCTTTGCTGGGTTCAGCAAACTCCTGTTGCTCTGAACTGGGGTGATTCCTGCTGTTGTATGGTTCATGGCTCCAAGTACGTCAGGGGATTTCCTTGTAGCTACCAAAACTTGGGCTTGTTCCTGGTGAAGAGTGGACCCGAAGGCCTGGCTGAAACCCCGTCGTGGGCAGCTCTGCAAGACGGTTGGAGAGGGGACAGAAGGAGGAAACGGCTGCGGAGGCTGCTGGCACTGAGAATGCGGGTCCGGGCAGAGGTGTGCTTTGCTGTGACATCAACGGTGAAGATGAGCGGTGAGAGGCCTGGAAACCTCACTGAAGCCCCAGAAAGTCTGGCATCTCCTCTTCCAGGTAGTTGTGGGATGGCCAACAGCCCTGAGGAACTGACGTGGAGACAGTGACCAAAACCCCGATTTATCCATCCTGGATCCATTTGTTAAGAAAAAAAAAAAAGGGAAAAAAACCCACCTCAAACCAAAAAGAAACCTGAAAGGACAGGTAAGGGAGTTCCTGCTGGAAGGAGCTTTCTTAGCACTGAATTAAAAAAACTGGAAAAAAAAAAGAAAACAAAAACAAAAAACTCAGAAGAAAGCTCTCATTGCCCACAGAACTGGAATTAAGTGATGAAGAGAAATGCAAAGTTTATCTACAGGTCCTCCCGCCCCCAAGCAGCCCCGGGATCCAGGAACATGTGCCAGGAGTTACATTCCAAACGAGCAGGAGTTACTTTATTTTGCGTTCCTGCAGGTCCCCACGCAAGGTGACTTTCCTGTCCAATGACAGAGTGGGCCTGGCCACAGTCCGCCCAGTCCATCAGTCGATCTTCACAGCTGCGTAGATCTTGCGGACGAACATGTAGGCTGCATAGAAGCCGATGGTGCCCGTGAGGAGCCAGAAGGACAGGACCATGAGAGCTGTGTAGCCAAAGTAGAGCAGGGAGGGGATGAACTCCACGATGTCCAGCTGGGGCGGAGGGCGGGGAAGAACAGAGGGGGATGCTTAGTGTCAGCTGGCCATGGCAACCTGTGAGCAGCCCCCTGCCGTGATGGTGGTGAAGGAGATGCCTGGCGGGGAAGGGGCCTGTTCCTGGTGTTGGTAAGACACACGGCTGGGCCAGCTTTCCTGTGTGCAGCCGCTGCCCTGTGAGCTCATGACCACCTGGGTAGGTACTCTCTTGTTTTGTCTGACGGTGCACACAGGTGTCAATGACACTGAAAGTTACACAACTGCAAAGAAGACAGTGCTGGGATTTCAACCTGGGGGTATGGGGCTGGGAGTCCAAGGCTCAATGCCACTGCCCCAGGCCATTTCTAGGGGCAGCAAGAGACGTCCTCTGAGGGAAGACTGGGAGATAAGCTAGGAGGTAGCAAGGGCCATGATTATGGCCCTTCCTGGACCAAGGGCTCCTCTAGAGTCTCCTACACAGCAGATCCTTGGACGGCTGCAGCAATTGTCAGGACTGGAGGGGTCCAAGGTGCCCTGCTTAGGGACCAGCGTGCTGTGGTAAGCCTGCCCGAACCTATATTTCTCTCCCCCAGAGAACGCGGCCATTAGAACCTCATGCCAATTTTCTCTCGGGAGGGTGCCCTTGTTTTACAGATAAGGCAGCTGGGGCTTTCAAAAGGGGTTTAGAGAGCAGAAAATAGAAGGACAGGACAGGATCTCAGGGTATGGGCACAGGAGACTATATAGTAGCTGATTTGTGTTCGTCCCCAAACCACTTCCTATCTTCTGTCTTCCAGGTATTTACGCCCTAAGCTGTGGTTCTGCTGGGCCTGTCAATCCTATTGCAAGACCTAAGCTGGCCTGAATATGTCACGTGATTGGCCTTGGTGAAGAGCTGAGGGACAGGTATGTATGAGCAGAGCCAATGAGATCTTTGCATAGATCGATATATGACAGTGAAGACTTGCTCTGGTGCTGTTGCTGGCCACCTGTCCCCCATGCAGAGAGACTATCTGCAGAGGAAGCCATGCAAACACTCACAGAAGCACACGGCACCCTTCCAGGCCAGAGATGTAATTTGTTAAACTCTCCAATCACACTAGCCAATAAATTCCCTTTTGCTCACACTGAACTGAGTTTTGGTTATCTGCTACTAAAGAGTCTCGTCCCAACCCATCCTGGTCAAAGACTTCTACTTCTGAATCATGAGCTACAGTGGAAAATTAGATTGATCGTGAATAATCCTGGGGACAGGACTGAGGTCTGAAGGTAGGAGTTACAGGGAAGTAGGTATCATTCTAGATCCAGGAAGACCTTGCTCAGCTAGGAGTAGGCCGGCAAGAATGAGGAGCATCTCTGACACTGGATGTTAGATCAGGAACTGGCCAATGTTTTAATAATAAATTACACTGTAATAATTGATTGTAATAAAATGACACATGTTTTAAGTTTTGCTGGCCATACATCTCTGATGCAATTCTGGAGTTAAACGAATGAGCAAAACTGTGTTCAATAAAACTTTATATACAGAAGTAGGTCCACTGGTCAACAGACTGTAGTTTGCTGACTGACCCCAGCACTATCTTTTGTTGAGATCTCTTGAGAAGGAGGGACACGTGACTTAGAAAGAGGAGTGGAATACTTTACTAAATGATCCTTACAGCCCTCCAGGAAGCTCTGGTTAACCCAAAGGAAGATGGTTTGAGTCTACCAGCTGCTCCATGGAAGGAAAATAGGCAATCTCCTCTTGTGCAATTCACTGCTTCCGGAAATCCGTGGAGGGTCAGCTAGGAGTCACTTCTACCTTGATGGTACACAACAACAACTAAGTCCTTTCCCACCTGGTCGTTTCGGGAAATTGGGCATTTTAAGATTCAATCAACAGATATAATAAACCCTATTGGTTAGTATGGGGCCAACGGCTTTGGGCTTTAGTGGCTGAAAACACACTGGGTGGGGTCAAGCTTTCCCTGTCCGCCTCTGAGGAAGGTCCATCAATTACCTTAAACTCCCCTCAAGAGGCTCTCTGGGCTTTGTGTCACTTGTGAGTCAATTAAAATCATCATGGGGATCCTGACGCTCTTGGAGGACAGTGCTTGCGACTTTGCCCAGGTCAGATACGCTTCCCTTTTAACCAGCGCACACGTTAACCTGTGGCTGCCAGCAAGCAGCCTCTGAGATGCAATGCAGTGAAGCCCTTCCTGTCTCTCCTGACTCCTCAGGACTGGAAAGGAGAAGCCTCCAGAGGCAGGAAGCCCGAGAGCCTAAATTTAGGTTCTAAAGGTCTTTTCAGCATTTTCTACTCGTTCTTTAACTCCTCTTACCACACGCTTCCTTTATCCTTTCACTTTATTGTTCCTCTTTCCTAGCTTTCTGAGGTGAAGACAAGGTTACTAGGCTCTTATTTTCTAATAAATGCCTTCACTGTTAGGTGACATGTTTCTCTAGCCCTTTATCCTAAAGGCTCTGCCTCCCAAATACACAGAACTGGATGCTGCTGCACATGCTGTGGGGCTTTAGAATGGCTCTGGCTGTCCCCTCTCGGTGGGAAAGGTCAGATACTTGTTTCCTCCCTTCACGCCCCTCCCCTTCCTCTGCTAAGAGGTTCCCTCAAGGAGGCCAGTACCTTGTTAACAAAGTAAAAGATGGCGTAGACCAGGACATAGAACGCGGATCCCCCGGAGACTAGGAAATTCCTCCACCACCAGCGGTAATCCTGAGAAGGAAGCAGGACGGGTCAGCACTGCCTCCACGCAGGTTTTCTTCCCACCAAGTTTCCCAGGGGTAGGGGTGGGGGGGTGGAGACCCCTAAAGACTGGGTAAGGGCAGGACTGTCTGAGCTGGTGAAAATGTTTTCTATCTCAACTGTGATGACGATACTTGATTGTACATATTTCTAAAATACCACAAGACTGTACATGTACATTACAAGCAGTAAACATTCGTGTTTACAAATTATACATAACTTTCTAAAAAGTCAGTAAGAACAGTGTTAACAACTACCAATACTTCCTGTGCAAATGCTCACCACATGCCAGGAACCTTTTTATATGCTAGGTGGAAGGAATTTGCTTAATTAAGCCTTGCACTGGCCCTCTCATGTGGTCCAATTACTACTCCTGATTCTCTACTAGAGAAACAGAGGGCAGAGAAGTTGAGCCCAAGATCCTGATGAGCCGGGCCTTGGCACCAAGCCGCTTGCCCCAGAGAGCTTGTTCAGACTTCCTGCCAAGAGCTAGTCCCCAGAGGGCAGGTCACCCAACCCGAATGGGAATACTACAACTGGAGTGGACTCAACTCTGACAAGCCCACTGTCCTCTCATGAAGATGCAGTGACCGACAACTATTCTGTGAGGTAGGTATGACTAACTCCAGTTAAAGGAGAAGAAATAAGAGGCTTGGGGAGGGAAAGAGACTTATTCACAACCTCAGAGCCAGGAAAAAGGGCACCTACACTGGAAAGCCAGACCAGAGTCTGCACAACTTAATGAACCCATTCAGCGCTGGTGCCATTCCCCTCACCTCTGCACACAGCTGGAAGTACACCATGACGATGCTGATTTGGGAACAGGATACCACCAGGATGATGAAGACGAGGAACAGGAAACCGAAGAGATAATAGAACTGATTCTCCCAGATGGCCTGTGGACACAGCACAGCAGGCCTTTAGCTGGCTGGCCTCCACAGCGGCCCTGGAGAGCCCACCCGGCCTGCTCTCAGGAATGCCACAACCCAAGGACTGGCATGCCACCTGCCAGCAGGGTAGGAGTGGAAACATCAGACGACACCATCAAGGCATGTGGCCGGCTCGTCCCTGCTCCATGGAGCTGAAAGCGAGCAGCACTGGTCTGAGAAGGGCCTGGGGTGACTGGCCTAGTTCGTCAACAGAAGGGATGCCTCCCTGGGGCACATACGGGCCTCAGAGCAGACTGCTCCTCCTCTGACCCTCTTATTGGGCTGGGCTGGGTTGGGGGGAGAGCAGGACCACGCCAGAGCAATGGCTACTTGTCCAGACATGAGTAATTAGACGTGTGACTTGAAGGAGCCCTCGCTCGAACGTGTGCCCTGGCTGCGGTGCACTCTTGGGACAGAAGTATTCACCACCACCAGAGCAGCTACTGTGTAACAAGCATTTCCTGTATTTTAAGCACTGTACCTTTCACAAATACGGTCTCATTTCTCCAGTTTGTCTTAATTCTCCCGTGAATGAGGGGGTCACAACTTCCTCAATTCCCTAACAGATCTGCGTAACTTAGGTATAGACAAGTAGGAGCCAGAAATCAGAGGATGCAACAGAGACATGAAAACTGCTGGTGATTTTCATTCACTGCGGTCTTACTGAAGCAGCTTCTAGTTACTGGCTCCTCCCCACACACTGGGCCGCTCTGTACACTCGGCTTAGTTGGTTTAGCCTTCAATGCTATCCTGAGAGAGAGGTGTTACTCCTGTTTCAGGGTGAAGAATGGAGGTTCCGGGAGGCGGAGTGGCCTGTCTGCACCTCACAGCAGCATGAGGCCGAGCACTGAGGAGGAGACCCGGATGAGGGTGTGAGGGCTGTGTGTGTGGTGAGGGTTGGGGAAGGGGGCCAGGCAGCAGTACTCACGCTGAAGATGAAGAAAAGCTCGATGAACATGGCGCCAAAAGGCAGGATCCCGGCCATGAGGATGCTGTGGCAGAAGGGGTGAGTTAACCGAGTCCCAGGTCCTACTGGCCAGCGTGAACGAGACCATGCTCACACAGACAGGTTTAGCCTGCATCCTTATAATCCATGAGAGGGATCATTCTCCCCATTTTATAGATGGGAAACTGAGGCGCAAAGAGGGAGGGTGACTTGTTTGCAGTCTAAGTGGCTTAAACCCGTTTACCACCCCTCCACTGCTCCCCATCCTGGTTCCTGGGCTGATCCCAAGTCTGACTACAGCTCCGTCCTCTTCTGCTTGGAAAGGGAGCTAAGCTTTAGGAAGTCCACTGGAGCTGGCGGAAGCTGCAGGGACATCAGCCACAGCACCCTCAGAGAGGAGCATACCCTCTTCTGTGTCCTCCGGGGGCATGGTTCAGGGCCGTGCTGGTCTCACATCCCCCTCGTATCCCAGAAGCCCCCTGCACAATGACTCACCCCACAAATCGGTTCATGTACCACCGCTGTTCAGGAATCTGCCGGGGAATCTGGTTGGTGCGCACGGGGTTGTCATACGGTTGCTTACGGAAGCCGAAGTAGTAGCCCAAGTAGACGAGGGGCAGGGAGATCCCAAACCACATGCACAGCAGGGCCACCATGGTGGGAAAGGGCACCTGTGGACCAAGTGCCCATGAGGCCACACAAGCCTAGAGGCAGATGACGAGGGGTTCCACGCACGGCAGGGCTGTCAGGGTGGGAAAGGTCCCACAGGCACAGTGCCTCACAGTGCTCTGTGATCGAGGCCTTAAAGGGCTGGGCCCAGCCCTGGGGGATTAGTACAGAGTAGATGGAAAAGTAATTTGCCCTCCTAAGAAGTAATCGTAGTATCTCAGAGAACTTATCAGCTACAAAGGAAATGGGCAAAGTTAGGGAAGGAAAGGATGAGAACGTGAAGGGAGATTAAATATGGTACAAGAAGAAACGAAAACCAAAATTATAGAAATGTGTTCCCAATTTTGTTAAAATCTACTAAGAAGAAAAAGAAAAGGCTGCTCTAAAACGATAATGAAAAGGCACTCTGTCCTTCACTACAGCTATTGTGAAGAATCTCTCTAAAGAAGCACCTCCTCGGGACACTGTTACTTCCCGGATAGCTGACTGAGTCACAGTAACGGAGTTGTCTGTGTATTAGGCTCATCACCTTCAGACCCTCCCACAGCTGTTACTCCCACTTTGGAGACAACAGAGGTGTTCACTACTTTCTGTCACACTGGGAAACCTGTGTGGTCCCAGGGTGTGCAAGCAAGCGTGCTGGGAAACTTGGCCAGAGGACTGGTATCTGTGACGCTTGTGGTGAGGTCCCTGAGAGGTGGAGTGAAGGGTGCCTACCAAGTAAGGGTGATTTGTGGCATGTCACCAATTACGGCTCCCAGAACTAGTGCGTGGGAGCAGTAAGTTGTTCTAGTAAACCTCCAGACTCTGTACATATAGAAGCTGTTGTTAGGTGCTGCTGAGTAAGCCTCATAGTGACCCAAGGAACAACAGATCTGAACCCTGTCCTGTCCTGTGCCATCCTCACAATTTCTGACATCCTCAAGCCCACTGCTAGAGTCACTGTGCCAATCCACTGGGTTTTCATTTTAACAAAAACTCCTCTTTATCTAAATGACTTCATGCTTAGAAAATTGTATGTCAAGAAGCAAAGAGTACTTCCTCAGGTGAGGTGTGTGGAGCCGGCATTTTCTTCCTAATCTTATTCTGCACAGTATTAGTTTTCACAAGAACTGTGCAAAAAGAATGATGTATGTAGCATGTTTAGAATCATGCTTACAAAGCAAGCACCACATACATGTTTATAATCATTTAAAAATGATAATATTATTTTAAATGTAAATGTGAAAAAGGAAAAAGATGGGAAGATGACACATTAATCTACAGAATGTTCATTCTGACTGGCTGATTCTCTGACTTCTCCGGACTTTGTAGAGTGAGTAATTCATAATGAGAACAATGCTGAGAGACTGGGAGAGGGGGAAGTGACAGAAAACAGAGAAGTGTGGAGAGCGCAACTCCATTGCTGGCTGGACCCGAAGCCTCACCCAAGCCCTTTAATGGGCAGGCGGGAGAGAGGGGAGGGATGGCACACGCCCGCCCCCTCCACTCCAACGCAGCTACTTGGTGAATCTGAGAAGACTCTCTCATCCTCCCGTTCCTCTCTGCCTCCACATGCAGGGGCTGGTGCCGCTGTCTGGGGATAGTGACCTAGGACACTCACACCAGGCCAAGCTCCCTTGGTTAAAAACAAAGGGGAATTCCCCAGCTGGTCCCTGGACCGTGGAAACCGCCCTTTAGAGAAGTGAGCCTTGGCCAGCTGTCTGGAGAGATTGCAAGATGTCCAGGGCCAGGGCAGGGGCAGATAGATGGGCAGGGCTGGGGAAACCCCAGGCAGCCCTCTGTCCCCAGAGGCTGGGAAGAGAGCTCTGGGGACTCAGAAAAGGGAAGGGGATCAGCAGGAAGTGACCTGGGGAAGTGGGGATGAGCACAGCTGATCGTGTGGGGAGGGTGGGGCACTTACCGCTCCCGAGGAGTGTTTGCCCCAGATGAAGCAATTCAACACGAAGCAGATGCCAAACACCACCCCAGGGTACAATGTTGCTGTCTGCAAGAAGAGAGGCCAAGCTTGGAGCTGCACCCAGAGCTCCCACCTGGCCCGCTGGGCTCTCAGACAAAGGTCTAGGCGTCCTGCTGTCTTTCAGGACTCAGCTCAAGCACAGTTCCTCCTAGAAAGCCTTCCTTGACTCCTAGAGAGGCCTGCTTTACGCTCTTAGACCTATGCACTGCCCTTCCTCTCACCTTAGTCTGTAATTTGGTGTTTTTGTCACCTGTCCAATCTCTGCCTACCCACCTCCAACACTGACATATTCCCAGCATTAAAATATGGCAGCTATTCATGAAGTATTTGTAGAGTAAGTGAACGTGTGACTAAAACGTCACTAAATATATATAGCCTAGTTCCAACTCAAACCACTTCGATTAGGGTAGTAACATATGGCAGAGTTAAGCTTTAGGTGAGACCCCGGGACGGTGGACGATGGACCCTGCCTAAACCATCCCATCTGCTCCTCACGGCAGCTCCAGATAGGAAGGACCATTGTCATTTCCTTTCAGAGATGAAGACACTGAGGCTCAGTAGTGCTAACCACCTCTGTCTCCCCAACTCTGTATGGTCAGCTGAAGAAGAGAAGGGGGTCCAGGCCAGGTGGTCTAACTCTAGTTTGCAGGCTACCTGATGCTCTATTTAGTTGGAATCTTTTGAGCTGGATCCCAGAGTGGGGAGCCAATCTTCCTGACCTACAGTTGAGACTCGTTCTGTAATGCTGAGGTCACAGACTGCTGGGGCTGCCTGAGTGCCCAGGTCATCAACCGCAACGACTGAGTCTCTGTCATCTGACACTCAACATCCACTGTCTTTCACCTGCCGTCCCTGGTCCCCCAGCCAGTTTACTGCTCCTGTGTATCCCCATCCTGGGGCCTCTACATACACGGACTTATCAACATCCCAGAGCCTCTGCTCTGAGTAGCACTGTGCTAAGGGCCTTCCATGCACCATCAATCCCGAGAGGAAATTATCTCCAAAGGAGAGAGAGGGGAACTCAAGTTCTAGGTTACCAGGTGAAGAAAGGATAGAGCTATGATTATAATCTAGTGATTCCAGAGCCCAAGGCATGCTGATGTTCCACCAGAAATCCTCAGGTTCCTGTATGGGATTTTTGTGTGTGTGTGTTGTGTAGCAGGGTCTCCTTCTGGGTAAAATTAGTGGAGAGAAAAAAAAATCCCAGAGAGGAGATCATGCAGGACCTGCTGGTAGCTCTGCCCAGGCTCCTTTGGAGCACCAAGGTCTCTCCTAAGTATCAAAGGAGAGAAAAGTAGGAGCTGACTTCTCTGAAGAGGAAGGGAGGCACTGAAGTCAGGAAAGAGGCGGACGGTGACAAGACATTTCTGGCTTCTTCCTTCTGTTTGGTGGCATCTTCTCCCAAAGCCCTGCTGACCAGTGTCTGACACAAAACCTGGGTTGGTACTGAAATTCTATCCTCTTAAGTTTCCTATTTCTTCTCTTGCTCAAACCACTGTACAATCTATTAAAAAAAAAAGACTGTAAATTCAATCCTTTTATTTCATGACTAGGCTAATTAAGGGGTGATGAGGTCCCTCTGTGAACCCATGGATAAGAGCCAGGTGTCCCCACAAGACCCTCAGGGTGTGCTCCTCCTGCCACATCAAGGTGCTGGTCAGTCTCTGGAAGGGAATGCCCTCAGGGCCTGCCTCTGCTCTGCCCTTTCAGACTTATGGCCTGTGCCCAGGAGCAAAGGTCTCAGCTCCTCACCGACACTGGCGGGTTAGGACACTTACGCAGAAGGCTCCCTTCTTCCACCGGTGGCCTTTCAGAGTGCGGTACAGACGGCCAGCAGAAAATCCACCAAACACCCTGTGGAGTCAAGGTGACACCTTGGGCCCTGTGAGCCACAGGACAGGAGGTGTGGGCCATCTCCCCCTGCCCGCACCACCATACCTACCCCATGAACATGAAAAGAAAGCAGGCCGTGGTCATGAGAGCTCCCCGGCTGGAGGGGGACAGCATGCCGAGCATGGCCACAACTGCAGAAGGAGGGGCCGGGGAGAGGGTCAGGGGCTAGTCAGCAGGCCCCAACCTCCACCAGGTTGCCTAACTGGATCATCTCTGATTGTGCCCTTCTCAAAGGAACTGTCTCATCCCCCTCCAGAAGACGAGATCTTTGCTGGGGTGCCCAGGGTTGCAGCAGCTACTTGGCCTGGATTAGGTGCCTATACGAGCTTCCAGCGGCAGGGCATCTGGGACAAGGCAGGTCTGGGACGAGCGCACCACAGGCACCAGCTTACTTAACCCACCTGTCCACACTGCAAGTCAGAGGCTAGCGAGATCCATCATTTTCCAGGCAGGGAAACGGAGGCTCATAGAGGTTAAAAGACTTGCCCGAGGCCACAAAGCATGAGGCAGCTCACACAAGCACTCTGTAACTACTATGGGTAACTATGGCACTGTTTTAACTACTGTGTAGTTCCTGGTTTAGGATAAAAGGCTTGAGGCCATCCTAACCATGGCACTGACTCTAAGCAAGTCAATAACATCTGGTGCCATTAGGAGATAAGCCTCACAGTATATGGATGTGTGGCATCAATGATGGGTGTGGGGGGCTCGGTACACAATGCTAGAAAGCTGAGCAAAAGGACCCGTGTCCGCGGTCTGGGGCTGGGAGAGTGTAGCCTGGTCGTGAGGATGAACGCCTCTATCTGCTCAGGAACGTTGGGATGTCTGTCTGATGCTGTGTGCTTGGCCCCCTTCTACAGGGAGGGCAACTTATCTATCCTGTCTTTAGAGGTATGTGGTAGAAGCTGCCTACAACTCCAGCCCTGCACTTCACTAGCAATGGTCTAATAGGTTCCCCTGCTGGCACACTCACAGATGACAATGAGGATCATGCAGAAGAGTTGAATGCCTGAGCCCAGCAGGGAGCTGAGAATCATGGGATACTGGGGCGGCCGGAAGACATCACCATGCACCAGCTTCCACCCTGACTCTTCCATGGTGTCCTCCTGCAGCAAAGACCCAGAGTGAGCATGTGCTCAGGGGACGAGACAGCTTCTGCAGAGACCACCCCTGGAGACTCATTGCACAGCCCCCCTCGGCCAAGGTGGGGGGTACCAAGCAGCCCCACGTCAGTTAGAAAACACAGTGTGCTGGGTCAGTGCTAAGAGAAAATGCTCCTCAAAAAAGTGTCACACAAGAAAGAAGGGAGCAAACATAACAGTTACAGTTAAGTAAAAGAAAATATCTTTCCCAAATTCCAGAAACCAAGCGCATGGGAAGAAGTAACGTCCATCAATACTAATTTTTGGGTGCTAAGATTTTGACGCAGCACTTTTTCTCATTAGAAAAAGAGCACTTTTGGTTTTTGGAATGAAAAAAAAAGGGTAAAAAAAATATTTGTTTTTTAAGTACACATGTACATGTACATACAATTACAAACCAGGGACCACACAGCACAATTTTTCATTGTAGTGTTATAATTTAATCTCTCTGCTGTGGTGGGAAAATTAGGTTGCATCAACTTTCTTTCAATTACAAAGAAAGCTGCAACAAATATTTGTGGACCAAGTGTAATGTGAGGTTTTGAGTCACAGAAAAAATTCTAGAAGAATTACACTGTCAATGGCTTTTCAGAAAACAGTTTACACTTCCACTTATGCATGTTGTACGAGGCGGCTTGTTTCATGTTAGCCAGTAATTATTATAAAACCAAAAAGCAAATACCCCAAGTATGGAATTCCCAAGTCCCTCCTGAGGGTGACTGCCTTATTTCCCAGTTCCTCCCTCCCCAGCCAAGACCTCGTACAATGTCATCCTCCTTGTTATAGTTGGCGATGTCCTTCCGGAGGGTCCGGATGATGATCATGCTCAGGATGCCTGGAATAGACAGGGGTGAGGAGGAGCGTTAGCATCAGCGGCCTGTTCTGTGGGCCTTCCAGCCTCCACGGCATGACCTCCCCAGAACCCTCCTCTCAGCACTTGCTGGATGGTCCTCTACTGCAGCTCCCCTGAGACTGCAGGGATAAGAGGACCCCTGGGATGGGTGAGGAAGCCATGAGACACCGCTTTTCTACCAGGGAGAACAGGCCCATAGCCCTGCCACGGTTTGGTTCTATCAACTTGCTGAGACTCACCTCTCTGGCTCATCTACTAATTTCTGGTTGTTGCTGCTTTTAGTGCCTAGTTCAGGGCATCTTCTCTTCTCCCCTTTATGTGTTCATCCTGCCCATTTAATTTTCTTCAGAATGCCCTGCACGCCTTTGACTAACTCTTCCTCAAGCTCCATGTCTCAGGCCAGGCATCATTACCTCTTAACACCCCAACACAGCCTGTATTTGTGATTCCATAGCACCACTGCAGCCCTCTCCAGGCAGCAGCTGCTGGCTAAGAGAAAGGGCTGAGTGATCTTGAGCTAACACACTTAATGGGTTTAGGCTTAGCTCACGGAGTTTCAAGGATCGAAATGTTTGTACAGTGCTTAACACAGTGAATGACACTTCAATAAGTGCTTCGACAAACAGGAGCCAACATTATCCTTGGTGGAAAGTCCTGGTGATATACTTTCAAAATATGTGCCAGTGAAAGCCATGAGGATGACAGTTGTCAGATTCCATCGTGCATGGGGCTGCCACGCAGCAAGCACCACCACCAGCTGTCCTCGTATGACGCTGTTGTGCTGTAGCGTCAGGTTGGCTGACCCTCCAGCAGGTTTTCAGAGGCAGTAAACTGCACAGGAGCAAAGTGCCCTTCTTTATCCCATGGAGCAGCTGGTGGACTTGAACCAAGTGTCTTTGGGTTGGCAGTGTAATTCCTTACCACTAGGCCACCAGAGTTCCCTCCTCATGTGACACAGTGAGGTGATTATCTGGAAATTTCATTTCACCTCTGCCTAAGCCTAACCCAGCCCTTGCTCACAACTGTCTCACCAGCCTGCCTTTTGTCTAAAGGTCTCGCTGCAGTACTGTGACCCCTGCGGGAACAGTCTTTCCCTGAGTCTCTGCGTGGTGGCTCCTCCTGCAAACAGATTTTCTCTAAAGCATACTTCATCCTTCCTTCAACTGTGTATCTGTCTGCTTCCTAGCACTCAGGACTAACTGGAATTCCTCTACCTGTTTCCCTTTTTCTTCTCTCCCATCACAAGAACAGACTCCATGAGGGCAGAAGCTAGACTGGGCTTGCTGAGCACCATATCCATCTGGCACACAAAGGGCACTAACAAACTTGCTGCTAAAAGGACAAGCATAGAACGAATGAATGGAAATCCAAAATCTTTGTAAATGTTCATTAAAATTAATAGAATAAAATTTCCCTCTAGTGAACTCTTCAAGTTGGTCTGGTGGCCTAGTAGCAAAAAGCTGCACTGTATCCTGAAGGCACGCGGTTTAAGTCCATGAGCTGGTCCATGGGAGAAGGATGGGCAATCTTCTCCCATGCAATTGACTGCCTATGAAAACCCACTAGAGGGTCTGCTATGAGACGGTACACAAGAGCAACAACAACAATAACAGTAGTGAGCTCTCCAAGGAGCAGTGGTAGCAAAGTGGCACAAGTTGGGCAGCTAACTGTAAGGTCAGTAGTTTGAATCCATCAGTTGCTGCACAGGATAAAGATGAGGCAGTCTGGTCCTGCTCCTGCTAAGAGTGAAAGCTGCCAGGAGTCCAGGCTGGGCTTTTCGTTTTTCAAAAGTTAGCTCTTCAAGGTAGACAGACTGCTGTTGCTCTCTGTCCACCTGAATTCTGTTTGTGACCTGTTCTCCTCGAGAACACCTCAGCAGTCCCCAGCAGGGCTGTGCTGCCTCGGTCTCTCATCCTCACGCCCCTGATCTCCCAATCTGCTGACTCACGAGAGACCGCTCACCGGACAGGAAGAAGACCACCACGACAGAGTTAATGATGGAAAACCAGTGGATCTGCACATCACTCATGGTCAGGTAAGTATCCCATCGAGAGGCCCACTTGATGTCACTTTCCTGGTGGGTGGGAGGAAGCACACAAAGTCAAGGCTCCTGCTAGAGAACTCCTGGCCTCCCCGGCCTCCCCTGCCCTGGGGCTCCAGAGCCTCCTCACCTCCCAGTGTACAGAGTAGGTAAAGTAGAGCTGATTTTCCTTGGTGGGGTCAATTTCCTGGGGCGAGGAGCTGGTCCCCTCAGGTAGGGTACATGAACTCTTCTCATCTCTTTTGAGGTCTGTGAGAGACAGAGACTCAATCTATTCCTGAGGGGGCGACATGCTGCCGAGACCCTGGCCTACGAGACCCAAGTGAATACTTCTGGAGCTGGAAACACTGGCTTTTCCACTGTCTCCTCCGAGCCCTGACCTTCCACAGGCCTTAGGGGCTGCAGAGGGGTGTGAGGGGGGAGAGGGGCTCTGAGGTCCTCATATGGTCAACTGGTCTTCCTTCACTCCTGACTCATTTGCTCGTCAATCCTGTTCAACGCAACAGCACTGACTACTCTAGCACATGTTCACCGTCCACCGCATCCGTCAGTGCTTCTGTTACTCAGCCATGGAGAAGCTTATTTCCTCATTCATCCACTCAATCATTTGTTCACCCTGTCTTCCATTCATTCACTCAATAATAAGCATATAATAAGCACCTACTCTACAGCCAGGTTCTGTGCAGGGTATTCGACACAGTTTCTAACGTCAGAGCTGGAGGGGAGCAGAGGCAGTGAAAGCATAATGTACATGAATGGAAAATGGAAAAGTGATAAAGTATAGTGTGCTCAAAGTATGGAATCTGTGTTTTAAAACGACATCTGTGTAAGATTTTATTTGAAAAGCAGATCCATAGCTTTTGAAAGAACAAAGAAAGCTAGAAAACCACCATCTTGGACAAAAAATGCCCCACGGAGGGAGGTGACAGGTGAGGTGATGCCCGAACAGGTTGGAACAGGCCCATCAGGACTGGGGCTAGGCTCTCAAATTCTCTCATTGCTGATTCTGTGCAAATCTGTGTTTGTGCCAATCATTCGCATGTTGCTGAGAATCGCTGAGTTGGAACTGACCCAAAGCTGACCCTCCAGCAGGTTTCCAGAGGCAGTAAATCATATAGGAGAAAACAGTCCTTCTTTCTCCTATGGAACAACTGGTGGATTTGAACCATAAACCTTTGTGTTGGCAGTGCAATTTCTTACCTCTAAACCACTAGAGGGAGTGCTGATAGTTTACTTTAAGGAGCTGCTGCACTGCAATTCCAAAGGCAAATGGCTCAAATCTACCAGTTGCCCAGCGGGAGAAGGAAGGGCCATCTCCTCCCATGTGACTGACTTACTGCTTGAGTTCAGTCATGTCACTAAGGCCTCACTCCTCCTGGGGTTGCTGGGAAGTGGTAAGAAAGATTAGTTGTCCACCTTGGGTCACAGAGATGTCAGCTCTTGCTCCCTACTGAATAGGAAATCAGTGGCTGTAGCTTGGCTGGACATGTAGGCTGTATCCCTGTCAGTCAGGAGCCAACTGTGAGAAGTCCCTGCATGCGGAAATTGATGCCCAGACCCGTCCAGCCCTTCCCCTCTGGTCATACCTCCCCACTCACCCTCCAGCCTGATGCTCTGGGGAATCACCTCGAAGCGCACGACTCGATACGTGTGCTCTTGGTCCTCTTCCACATCCTCCCGGTGGTAATAAAGGATGAATGAGAGGTGGTTGTGCAAGTAGATCTAAGACAAAGCAAAGATGGACAAAAAAAGAGCTAGTAGCCAAGAAACAATGAGAAACTCATCCAGGGAGGGGAGACCACCCAGGCATAGATGCACACGGGCATCTAGCATGCTCAGCTCTCCCAGCTTTCCAAAACCACTGCTCTCATCATGTTGCTCTGTGTTGACTGGATAAAAGCTGACATCCCCTACCCTGGCATTCAGGGCTTTCTCTCATCTGACATGCTGGGTCTGCGCTCATCATTTGTTAAGCCACATGACTCCACCTGGTCTCCCAGCCCCATTCCGGCTCTGTTCACAGCACTCACCCCCTCTGGACTGCAGCCCCGGCCCCACTCTTTCCAAGTCTACCCATTTTCAAGGGCTCCTCGCTATCAGTCTGAATGCACAGTGGGTATATTCTCCTCTAGCACTGACAATGGGTGAAGGGAAGAGGGACTTAAGGTCCAGGCTTTACAATCTCGGTTCCCCTCCCAATTAGGAGAGCAGCTCTTTGCGGACAGGCTGTGCCTCAAAAGGAATGCTTTTCTCCTTTATTCCCTAAGTGATATTTATAAGTTTAGAAAATTAAAAAAAAAAATAAGCAAAGAGAGTCACTGCTAAATCAGAACCACCATTAACAGTATGACCCACCAGAAGCTCTGCAGGAGAATGACATGGCAATCAGCTCCTACAGAGATCACAGCCATGGAATCCCCCCCGAGGCCAATCCCACTCTGTTCTGAAGGGCTGAGATGAGCTGCAATTGACTCAATGGCCATGGGTTTGGGTTCTGTGCTGGTAGGTGCTGATGACATGGGAGTGTCTGATATTCTCCACAAAGCAATCCCATGGAGCTGGTACGGTTATTATTACATTTTACTGACAAAGAAAGGCAGATTCAGAATAGCTTCAGAAGAGGTTAACCAGGCAACCAGGAACTGGCGTGGGCAGGATCAAACCCATGGAGCCGATCGTGGATGGACACTACTTTCTACGTCCTAGCACCGTTTATCAGAACATGGTCCAGAGCACTCAAGTTTGTGAAAGACCGTGCCTAGAGACAGCAGGAGACGCTGGTCTAGGCTGAGCCTTGCCTCTTCTGTATTATCAGCTCAGGGCTAAAGGCTTGCCTCTTTTTCAGGGCCCCGAGTGCTTGGAACCTGTGTAGGGTGCCTGCCCAGTGCTCTGACCGAACAGGCAGGAGATACTCTACCTTGTTGACATCGGTGAAGCCGAGCCGGTAGCCATGTTCAAACTGCACATCTTTTTCCTTCTTCTTGTCATCACTGTCACGGTTGGAGTACAGCTCCAGCCGAGTGGCCACGGGCAGGTTGTCGGCAATGCTGGAAACCCAAGGCCTTGCTCAGTGCCCCTGGTATACCTCTCCCAGCACTGCCCGCCCCTACAGGACTTCGAGGTCGGCAGGGAGCTGAGGCCAACTTACAGGTGAACATAGTAGTCCTCTGTGATCCGCTCAGCCACCAGCCGGCTCTGGTCCACAGTCAGGGTCATGGGCTTGTTAGACTGGCTGCACAGAACCTCACACTTCTTCTCGCTATTCATGAGAACCTGGAAAGGGGTGTTGACAATCCGGTCCCCTCTCAGCACCTCTCCTGCCATAAGAGAGACAGATAGAGCTCAGAGCTTCAGCCCTGAGTTTGCTGAGGTCAATAGAGTCACACAAACAGAATCAAAGGGCAAATGTGGACTTCCAGGGAAAGGATGCTGTTAAAATGTAGGGGGCTACAGTCAATGCCAAGACCGTGCCACAGGATTTACTCTGTAAACTTTCACTCAAATCATAATAAAAAGTGAAAAAAGAAAGAAGAAAAAAAAGAGGACTTTCAGGGTCTTTAGCATTTCCTTAGCTTTGCACTCACTCCTGGTCCATGCACATCTAACCTCCTACCTGTCACTTCTCCTCCTCCTCCTCTATGTCCCAGTGCTAACCTCTCAGAACTCACCAAACATCCCACATTGTTCCAAGCCTCTGGGCCTCATCTTCTTAGGTGTGGAGTGCCTGTCTCCACTCCAGGCTCTTGGGAAACCCCTCCTGACCTCTTCAGGACAGAGCTTGTCACAACCTCTGAGTTCCCTCCTATGGAGGGAGCACTATGTAGGATGAAGAGAGTGGGCTGCAGTTCCAGGCCATCTGGGTTTGAGCTCTGGCTCTGCCACTTGCTAGCTAAACAATCTTGGACAAAGCACTTAGCCTCACTGAGCCTCAATTTCCTCATCTGTAAAGTGGGGATAAGAGTGCCCATCTCCCGAGATATAGTCAGGTACAGAGCAGGCAGGCAATAAATACTATTACTGCATCAGCATTGCCTCTGCACTTTCTTCATACATTAATGATTATATTTTGCACAAAGGGCTGATATATTTACGTTCCTGGCGTCCTTACTCAATTAAGAACTTTTTAAGGGTAGAGACTGTTTCCAATTTTTCTTCAGCTTTTGGTTTAGGAAGGGAGAGGAGGAGAGTGAAACCTATCACCTGAGATTTATGGCCAGAACATCCTTTTACTCAATGAACTGGCAGGCTCACTGCATGTGACAGCCTCAGAGCAGCTGCCAGAGGCTGTGCCAGCAGGCGCCAAGGAGCAAGGGCCAACTGGCACTTTCATTCTGAGCTATGCTAGCAGTTCTATAATGACAAAGTGAAACTGGGGCCAGCTTAAGACGACGAGCGCCTTAACGTACAGTGTGGCTGTTTGACAGGGCACTTTCTGCCCTTTCATTTGTTCATAAATATATGCTGGTTACTGGCTTTTAGTCAGGCTCTCACAATATAATGGTGAATAAATCTAATCACAGAGCATCTGGTATAATGGGAAGACAGACTGATTAAATAATCACCATAATGAGAACAGACTGCATCACAAGAAAAACCTGTGTTAGGCATGGAGAAAAAGGTTTGGAAAGTTTATCTGAGGAAGTGCTGCTTGGATTAAGCTCAAAAAGGAGAGAAGAGATAACTCGGCAAATATGGAAGAACATTCTAGATAGAAGGACAGTGTCTGCAAATCCCCTGTAAGGGTGGGGCAGGAGAAGGTCAGTATGGCTGCAATGCAGAAAGCAAGGGAAAGAGTGAGTCCAGGGGAGCGGGAGAAGTGGGCCGGAGCAAAAGCTCACAGGGCCCACTGGTGACACTGAAGTATGGTTTTCATCAAGAGAGTAACAGGAGCCAAGGAAACGTTTCCAACAAGGGCGGGGGGAGACATTACCTGGTTCTGGTCACAAAAAGCCTACTCAGGCCGTTTTGTGAAGAAAACAGAGAGGATGCAGAGAACTGGCTGGGAATGATGGCCTGCCTTCCAGATGATTCAGATGAGAAGAGGGTGGTGAAGGTGGAGAGATTCAGGAGCTACTGAGTAGGTGAAATCTCTAAGAGGTAAGGGAGCAGTGGGGCATCAGGAAGATTCTGAGGTTTCTACAAGTCCCAGAAAGGAAAACAGGAAAAGTAGTAGATTTCAATTTAAGGCATTTTCACTTTGGAAATCCACACTCCCAGGCATTATAAGGTCCAGATCTGAAGCGCAAGGAAAGGTCAGGGCTGTAGATGAAAGTGGTGAGTTTTTGGTATAAAGATGTTAAGTGAGGGCTACCAGCTGTACCACCCTATGGAGGGACATCAGTTAGCAGTGTAAAGGGGCAATTCTGGCAAGTGAGGCCGTGAGGGGAGATGAGATCAGAGGATAAAGAAGGCCTGGACAAAGCCTTTCTCTTTAGAAACCTTGGACAGTAAAGATACCGATAAACATCTACACGGCCTGTTGCTGCAATCCAGGGCACCCACAGCCATGTGACAGGCGAGCAAGCGAGGACTACAGAAGGGCAGAGGCTTAGCCCTAATCATACACGTGGGCTAAACATCTGGGCCCTTTCTCCTGCACCTCTCCTCCTACTGCCTTTCTCCTGCCCGCTTCCTCCAATGGCTCTTTCTCCTTCTGCCCACTTCACATCAGCAAGGAGCTTGCCAGGGAGGGGAAGAACACACAGAGGGGAACAGAGCTGCAGACCAAGGAAGGCAGGTATCACTTCTTGATATCTGGAAATTAAGTTTAAACCAAAAAAGAGAACATAATGGTCTGGAATGGCTCATTTCTAATACAGAAGTACTCCTGTGCACTTATTTAGGCTGGAAGCAGTTGGCTACATGCTTTATGAGCAACAAACTATGAACAGAGATCCTGTAAGAAAAGTGGCTGGTGTGCTTTAGTGCATCCCTACAGTGCTATACACACATTCCCCCCCAATGGTGTGCCCTAGTGTATCCCTACAGTGCTACACACCCCCCAATGGTATGCCCTAGTGTATCCCTACAGTGCTACACACACACCCACACACACCCCGATGGTGTGCCCTAGTGCATCCCTACAGTGCCCCCACACACACACATACCCCCGACGGTGCTCTAGTGCATCCCTACAGTGTTACACCCCCCCTTGATGGTGTGTCCTAGTGCATCCCTAGAGTGTTACACACACACACACACACACACACCCCCCGATGGTGTGCCCTAGTGCATCCCTACAGTGCTACAACCCCGCCCCATGGTGTCTCTAGTGCATCCCTACAGTGCTATACACACACACACACACACACACACACACACACACACACCCAATGCCACAGTCCTTCTCAATATGGTCACAAGCACAGCCCTCAGACAGCCCAAATGAACTTTTCTTGGTGGTGGTGGGGGGGGAATTTCTAGGTTAAGAGTGAAAAAAAATTGACTAAAATGCCAATTTCTTCACCTATTGATCATGAGATCTTGGGCAAGTGTTTAAAACCTTGAAGCTGCTGTTCCTTCCTCTATGAAAAGCAGGGCAACCATACCAGGCTTGTAGAGTTACTACAAGAATGACTAAAGACAATATACAGGGTGTGGTTTTTAAGGGTACAGATGTGAGAACTTACTAGATGAGCAAGTTACTCCCCTCTTAGATCGTGTCCTTCCTCATCTGTAATTTGAGATTGTTGCTGTTTGCTGTCGAGTTGGAACTGACCCTCCAGAGAGTTTTCATAGGCAGTAAAGGACATGGGAAGGTGACTCCCCTTCCTTCTGCCTTCCTCCTGCGGAGGAGCTGGTGCACTCAAACCGCATGCCTTTTGGACAGCAGCTCAGTTTCTTACCATCAGGCCAGCAGAGCTCCGTAATTTGAGATTAGTATGAGTATCCATCTCTTAGGGTTGTTATGAGAATTAAGTAAATTAAAGCACTTAGGTGCTCTGAACAGATCAGGTTCACAGGAAGAGCAAGGGTCAACAGTGAAGGTGAGGCTAACGATCACCTTGTTGTAAAGCTCAAGGCTTGCAGCCAACAGGCACTCAATAAAGGATGTTTCTGCTCCATTTAGTGGGACATAACAGCCACTGGATGCTTGCTATGTGTTAGGCAGGGACTAGGCTGGAAGTTGAGGAGAGGACGGTGAGGCATAATTTCTCCTCTTCTAAAAAAAAATGAAAGGAGGCACCAAAGATAGAACGCAAGATAAAACAGCAGGACAACTTTTATACAGAAGATCCCAATGATGTCTTCATTTCTCTGAGGGAGGAATTACTGCCCCGCCTCCATGGAAGATCCCACAGAGGTTCAGCAAGGTTAAGTGCACACTGAGGGATGGCCACTGCAGAACCCTGGGCTGCCGACAAATCACAAATCAACACTGGCTCCCAGGGGAAGAAGAAACCACAGGCAGCCTGGAGGGTGAACAGGTCAGGCTTCCCAGGCGGAGGCAGGTGGCTGGAGCACACGTGATGTGGAGGATGGAAAGATGTGATATGGGGGCAGGTAGGCCAAGAAGTCAGTCTGTGGAAACCAGCCTGGCACTGAGACTAGTATGTGGTCAATTCCAAAAAGCAAGACTTGGGAGGAGGTGGCATTTCCAGGAGTTGGTGCTGCCTGCTTTTGGTTAAACTTGCTCCAAGACTGACTTTGACTTCCATCAATATGGGAAGCCAATACTAAATATTTGTAATAAAGTGAATGCTATTTCAGGTTGGAATTCACCCTGAGGCACCAAGGCAATCTTTAAGGATTTACCAGATTCTTGCATTGTATTTGCTGACCCCTCCCCCTCCTGGGTCAAGGGGAAGGTTTGCAATAGAAAGACCTTAGCTTCATTTGCACTGAATTCTCTTGATGATTTACTCCCTGGCAATTTTCAGTAAAGATACAGGGAAGCTGGAATGCAGGCCCTTCATAACTGCTGGCCCCCTGTTTTCATGCTCTCTGTTCTATCTCATTCTTGGTTGTCTGTCTCATTATTAATAATTATAAAAATACTTTACCCTCGGTCTGCAACACATCTGGATTGGAACTCAAAGCTGGCAGTCTATGTTCCTATCAGCTAAGGGTTCCAGAAGGAGCCATATATAAACCTGACAGAGAAGACAACTCTTCACGCAGCTGTTCAAAAACATTTTGCACTTTCTCTTTCCAAGATATGAGAGGAGAAGAAAGTCTCTTAAATCCCGTAAGGCCAGGAGGAGCACTGCTTCACATTTTTATCTTTGAGACATAACACAGAGACAAGCAGAGAGCAAGCACTACTACTAATACCCACTGCCATCAAGTTGATCCCAACTCAGAGTGACCATCTGTGACAGAGCAGAACTGCCCCCGAGGGCTTCCAGGCTGTGATCTTTATGGGGGCAGATCATTAGATCGTTTCTCTTTCAGAGGTGCTGGTGAGTTTGAACCACCAGCCTTCCTTTTGGTTGTGCAGCCAGTACTTAACCACTGTACCAACAGGACTTCTCAAAATCAGACTAGGTGACAAAAGTCCTAAGTCAGAAGTAGTTAACAAAATTAAGGGAGAGCCAGTGCTGAGTGTCAACAAAAGGTTTCAACTCTGAAGTTAGGCTGTGTGGATTCAAAGCCTACCAAGGCTCTTACTCAACAGTAAAATAACAGCCAAATCATTTAATCTGTAAAATGGAAATGAAAACAGTAACTACCTCCTCAGGGTTGATTATGACAGGATTAAATGGACTAACAGCATTATTATGAAAAGAACTTAGCAACAGGTTGAGAGTGGTCTGAAGGAAGAACTTACCCAGATTCTCTGCCTTGTAGGTTATTTTGGTAGGCTGGCAGAAGGGCAGCGAGTAGTATTCATAAGGAAGCTGGGTTCGAGAGCTGGTGAGCTTCACAGCCTGGTGGGGGAAAAGAGGCCATAATTCTGAATCCATTAACAATCTCAGATCAACATGACCATTTTAGCAAACCCTCCCTGGTACTCTCAACCTCTTCAGTTCACTTGACAATAACTGTCTGAGAGGGAAATGAACCGCAGCAGACATGAGGCTACAGCATCCTCAGCACAATTCGGAATTATTCTGCATTTCATTTGTTTTAGATTGCATTACCAATTTAGTTTAAAACACAATCAAATTCAACAGATAGTGAGTCATGAACATGCTGATATCCTCCGACCCAATAATGCTACTTCTGAGAATCTTTCCTAAGAAGTAATTCCAAGTAAGGAAAAAAATCTGAGGCACAAAGAAATCTCCATAAATCTCCTTATTCCTATCCTTAGCAGTTTTTCTCAATTTCTTGAACATCCATCAAGCTCCCTCCTGCCTTGGGTTTTAAACCTTCTGCTGCTTTTGCTTTCTGTCCTGTTGTCAGATGTCAAAAAGTGAAATACAACTCACAGCAATCCTATGAACAACAGATATGAACCATGTCCTATTCTACACCATCCTCACCACCTTTGTCATGTCTGAGGCCACAGTTACAGTCACTGTGTCAATCCATTTCCGTGAGGGCCACTCTCTCTATTGCTGATCCTCCACCTTGACTTGCCCCTCCAGGAACATGAGATGAATTTCACCATCCCTGCCTCTAAGAAGCATTCTGGCTACACTTTCTCCAACACAGATTTATTTATTCTTTTGACAGTCCATGGGATATTCAATACTCTTTGCCAAGACCACAATTTGCCCTATTCTATGTAAGCACAGTGCCTACCTGAAAACAATGTGGATCCAACTGTAGTCCATGCACAGGAAAAGGGCTTGGTCCCCTTGCCTCACTTGAACACATCTAAAGTGCCATTCTAGCTTCAGTTTTCCCCATCTAATACTATTTCCCTCACAAGTGCTGACCTCAGAGTCTCATCCATAAATCCCCCACACAAAAATCACTTCAGACTACATGACACTCCTTCACTGGGGTTCTGAGAATACCAGCAAGAATCCATCATTGTAGAGACATAAATCAAGCTGCCAGTCTTCCCAACACCCTTGCTTAACCACTAGTCTCCATTCTCCATCCTTGCCACAGCTAATGGTTCAAAAGTGGGCAGGTAGCCCAGCTGGATGGCTGTCCTCTGGACTCTGAACCAGCACAAGGCACCCCAAACCCTTATCATTCATTCACCAACTAACCCTATCTGTGGTATTTTTCACATAAAACATGCCCAAAGAAATAAAATATACATGCACAACATGCAAGGAGGTCTTGGAATTTGCAAAAACTGTGTAGCATGCATATACTGTTTACATAAAACTTAGTACTTACCACTTCTTTTACTATTTACTTGTTTTGACTCATTTAAGTGAAAATTTATTAAACAAATACTATATCTCTATTAAGAGTAGAAAACTAACCATGACTGCCATAAAATTACAGGTTGATATATTAGCTAATATTTTTATAATGTACATAAAAAGAAAACAGCTATTAAAGTAAAATATATTTATGAGCCACTTAACATTATTTCATTTATCAACACTTGGGTGGTTCAGTACACAATTCAGGACATAACAAACTGGACGACATTGCTGATAGTAGAAACTAAGACTGAAAAATTAAAGAGGCTGTGTCCAAGTCAGGCTGAGAAAGCTAGGAACAGAGAGGACAAAGCAGATGAAAGACAGAAGCGAAGACATTACAGAGGAGGCAGCAGGCTGAGTGACAGAAACACACGTACACATGGAGACGACAACATAGAGTCAGAAGCATAAACACAGAGACAAAGAGAGGGAGAGACACAAAGATAGAAAGATCTGCTCTCAGGCAGAGGCGCAGAGAGGTAGAGGGTCAGAGGCAGAGTACCCGAGGGCACTCAGCTTCTGGCCCATGCATTGAGCCTTCTCTTCACAGGGAATGCCACAGGCCTTTGTTCTCTGCACAGGGCCACATCTGCACACGAACAGCTCCCTAGAACAGCACCCCATGATCCTCTAGCTGGAGTACCTGGCACATGGGACTCCCAGGCTCCAGGAATTCACTTACCTTGATTTCTACAGGGTCATTCTGGTGGAAATTGATTGGAGCAACCCCAGGGACATAGAAGGCTCTCATTTCGCATATGAGAGAGAGAAGCAGCAGGACTCTCGATAACCAGTCCTGTTTGGAAGAAAAGAGATCTAGTTGGAATGGTGACCATCGATCACCCTGGGACAGACAAAGTAACACCCCCTTCGTGTCTAGCTAACCCGGAGTCAGATTCCCTCCAAGGAGCTGGGACCTTTGAAGGTGCTGCCTCACAAATGGCCCCAAGAGGACTACAGGGTACAGTAGCTCCATTTCAGAAATGAGGTTTCAGAAATGAGGTGCAAAGTGAGTTAGGTCAGCAACACCAGGGTGGAAGTGAAGTCTATGATTGAGGAGCCACATCTCCCCACTTCAGGATCAGTGTCCCTTCAACCTTTTCCTGCTGGATCTTTCTCCACCAGCTGCTGCCAAGTTGACGTCTCATTTGTGTGAGTCACAGCAGAACTGCACTCCACAGGGTTTTCAATAGCTCATATTTTAGGAGCAGATCATCAGGTGTTTCTTCCAAGTCACCTCTGGGGAGATTCAAACCTCTAACCCTTAGGTAACAGTGTCTGTACACCCAGGGACAACGACTCCGAAAGAAGGAAATAAAGCTCCGTAATGTTCTGTTAATTCTCATTTCTCCTATGACAACAAGTTCATGGTAACGGAGCTCCTATTTTCCTGCAAGCCTTCTCTAAAAGGGCACTGACCTCATCAACTCCCACTTCCATCTCTCTGCTCATTTGCTCCAGCCACACTGGTCACCCTGCAGTAGCCCGATCATAATAACCCCTCTCCCACTCTCCACTGTACCCTCTGTCAGAATTCCCTTTCCACAGACAACTGCTTCATTCATCTCACCCCCAATTCAGGTCTCCCTCAAACGTCTCCTCTGGGAAGCCTTCATGGGCTATCTTATTAAAATAGCATTCTCTGGGCTCCCAAGATCCATTTCTACACAAGCTTATCCTGTTGCATTTCTCTTCATGGATAAATCTGCTTGACATACAGAACATGTAATGTTTATTTGCATATCCTTTGCTTTCTCCACCTGGACATTAAGAGCTGTTCAAACTATCACGAGTGCAGAGCAGGCACACAGTAAATATCTGCATGAGGAATAGTCACCTGGGAATTAAAGCCAAGGAAGATCATCTTCTCACTCACTCACTCACACTGGGCATAGCTGCAAGAGGAAGCTGCTCATCTTTTTTCCCTCAGAGTTGGTTGTAGAATCGAACCACCACCACTGTCTTTTAGTTCGTGGCTCATGCAACTCCACCAGAGCTCCTTTTCTGGCTTCAAAATTTTCTCCTCAGCAATACTGGTCAAATCATCTCTTTGATGATTTGAACCAGCACAAGGTACCCCAAATAACAGCTCTTCACCTCCTCAAGGAATTAGAAATGCTCTGTGCCTGGCCAAGGATGCCTGTTGTCTATAATGAATCACTATATTATATTGGATGTGTTTCTGCATCTTCCTTCTTGGTCCACCCCCCTTCCTACGGCTCTGTCTCTGTCCCTCATCTCCGCTCTCCTAAACGAAAACCACACACAGCCTCCTGGTCGATCACCTTGTCTTTTGTCTTCTTCCACCAAGCTAATACACATTCTCTCTCTTTCTGGTGATCTTTCCCCCTGAAATTCAGTTGTACGAGGCATGGAAATTCCAGGAGGGGCTTGTCTAAAACATATATACATTTGCATTTTTTTATATAAACCACAAGTTGTGGAACTGCCTTTAAATGTTTAAAGTTCTGATCCTGGTGCACATTTTATAGATAACAGGATCAAAGTCTTAAAAGCAATGTGCTCACAGAATGTCTCGGCCTCTATTAAGTTTTCTAAGCATTTGCCAGTTCATATGAATTCAGTTACGATGTTCGTTAGAAAATATATAGTTAAAAAACTGTTTTACTCCCAATAAAAACAGTAGAAAATGGTAAAGATCATTGTACTGTATTTGGTAATCTGGAGTTCAGTAGAAGTAGGGGTGAGAACAGGGCAGTCTTTAAAGGAAATTCTTTTTTAAAAAATATTTTTATATTTTGAAATAAATGTTGATACAGTAGAGTTGTAAAGACAGTACAGAGTCTCTATAAAGTCTCTACTGTTTCCCTGCAAGTTAATAGCTTACATAGTCACAGAATAAGGCTCTGTGTTGTGGTTGTTCTGTGCCGTCGAGTTGCTTGAGGCTCATAGCAACCCTATGTACAAGAGCCCTAAACCCTGCTCTATCCTGCACCAACCTCACGGTCTCCGACACATGTTCTCCCATTACCCTCAAGACTGAATCAATCCATCTCATCAAGGGTCTTCCTCTCTTGTGCTGTTCCTTCACCCTCCCAAACATGATGTCTCTCTCCAAAACCAGGCCCTCCTTGTAACATGTCCAAAGTACATCAGATGAAGCTTCAGAATCCTTGCCTCCAAGGAGCAACCCAGTTTCACCCTCTCTAGGATGAACTTGTTTGTTCTCCTAGTGGTCCATGGTATATTCAACATTATTTTCCAGCACCACTGCTCAAAGGCATCAATTCTCCTTCTATCATTGCCAGTTATTATCCAGCTGTCTGATGCATAACGAGCAACTGCAAAGACTGAATCAGGTGTACCTTAATCTCCAAACTGACGCTGTTGCTCTTCAGTACTCTGGAGTGGTCCCTGACAGCCGATTTTCCCAATGCAATTCTTCTCTTGATGTCCTTAATGCTAGTACCAAGAGTGATGACTGTGGAGCCAAGGAAACTAAAACTGTTGGCAATTTCAAGCTCTTGACCATCAATGATGATTCTGCCAATTGGCCCAGTGGTGAGAATCTTTGTTTTCTTGATATTGCACTTCAATACATACTGAAGGCTGCAGTTTTTGATCTTCTGCAGCAAGCGCTTCAGGTTCTCCTCAGTTTCAGCAAGCAGGGTAGTGTCATCTGCATAATGCAGGATGTTGATGAATCTTCCTCCAATCCATTCCTCCTCATACAGTCCAGCCTCCCTGATGATCTGTCCTGCATACAGATTGAAAAGGTATGGAGACAGAATACATCCCTGGCATACACCCTTTCCAACTTTGAACCATGCACTGTCTCCTTGCTCTGTCCTGATGAATGCCTCCTTGTCCAAGTACAGGTTTTGCATAAGCACAATCAAAATGTTCTGGGATTCCCATTCTTAGAGTCAGCCATTGTTTGTTGTGATCCACTCAGTCAAATGGCTTTGCATCATCAATAAAACACTGACATTCCTCTGGTACTCACTGCTTTCAGCTAGGATCCATCTAACATTAGCTGTCATATACCTAGTAACATTCATTCTTCTAAATCCAGCCTGCACATCTGGCAGTTCTCTATTGATGTGCTTCTCCAGTCATTTTTTTATAATTACCAGAAGAATCTTGCTTGCATGTGATATTAATGATATTGTTCAATAATTTCCACTCTGTTGGGTCATCTTCCTCTGGAATAGGAAGAAATAGAGATCTCTTCCAGTCTGTTGTCCAAGTGGCTGTCCTCCAGATTTCTTGGCACAACTTGGTGAGCACATCCAGGGCAGTGTCTGTTTGTTGAAATATGTCAGTTGGTATACTGTCTATTCCTGGAGCCAGGTTTTTTGCCAATTCTTTCAGAGAAGCTTGAACTTCTTCCTTCATCACCAAAGCTTCTTGCTCATAAGTTGTTTCATTAAATTCTTTCATGCCAGACAATTCTTTCTGGTACAATGACTCTGTATAATCCTTCGATCTTTTTTAGTGCTTCTTGGATCATTTAATATTCTGCCCAAAGCATCCTTAAGTATTGTCACTAGTGGCTTGAATTTGTTTTTCAATTCCTTGAACTTAAAAAATGCTGAGCAAGTTCGGCCCTTGACTTCCAGCTCTTTGCACATTTCATTATAATACTTTGCTTTGTCTTCCTGAGCTGCCCTTTGAATCTTCTGTTCAGTTCTTTAATTTCTTGATTTCTTCCTTTAGCTTTGGCTTCTTAGAACTCCAATGCAATATTCAGAATCTCATTTGACATCCATCTTGGTCTTTTCTTCCTTTTCTGCCTTTGTACTGACCTTTTGCGTTCTTCATGGATATCCCACAGCTCATTTGGTTTTCACTCATGGGTGTTCAAGGCCTCAAACCTGTTCATGAGATGGTTTTAAAATTTGAGTGGGATAGACTGAAAGTCAAATTTTTGTTCCTGTGGATTTGATATAATTTTCTTCAACTTCAGCTTGAACTTGCATATGAGTGTCCAATGTACATTAGGAGTTTCCCTGTCATTGTATCTTCTATTTTGTAAAAACAAATCTATTTTTAAAATTGTAACGCAGTAGACCACTGGGGCTCATATAGAAACTGTGCTGCAATCCCAAAGGCACAGGGTTCCAATCCACTAGTTTCTCTGCGGGAGAAGGATAGGCAATCTCCTCCCATGTGATTTACTGTCTCTGAAAATTTGGAGCAACAAATACACACACACGCACTCTCACTCTTGCTCTAAGAGAGAAAGATGGGCAATCTCGCTCAATTTACTATGTCTGAAAACTCACTGAAGGTTCTACTATGATTGTTCTGATTTGATGGCACATAACTGTGTGTGTGTGTGTAAATTTGAGTTGCCACATATGTTTATATGTACAAACACAAAAGCTGTACTGTACTGTTGAGTCAGAGGGTGGGTGATTTCGAACCACAGGCAATGTGTGGTCTTTTATTTGCAATACAACACACTGCAAACCTGCCAAAAGATTTATGAACAGCTTTCATTTAGGAAGCTGTTGTTACTGTTCTGTACTGTCAAGTCAGATCTGACTCATAGCTGACCTTCTAGAAAGTTTTGAGAGACAGTAAACTGCATGGGAGGAGACTGTTCATCTTTCTTCCATGGAACAGCTGGTGGATTCGAACAGGGTGCCTTTGATTTGCCAGTACAGTTCTTTACCATTAGGCCACCAGAACTCCCTAGGTAAACACAGAACAATTAAAAATAAAAATTTATTTTGTTGTTGAGGACATACACAGAAAAATATACACTAATTGAACAGCTTCTACATACAAAATTTCAGTGACAGTAACTACATTCTTTGAGTTGCGGTG